GATCTGTCCTTATGTTGTATTAAGAGCTGTGATGCACAAAAACAGCGAGCAGAGCTGCCTGCAGAGTGCCAAGAATATGGGTTGTTGAGACACATTTTTAACACATAAGGCAACATTTGAAGAATAGAGAGGGGGATACCATGGCATGAGGGGAGAGCATCAGATCTCAGCACAAGGCATTTGTAGCTGTCCTTGAGATAAACAGAGCAATGGGACAGAGCCATCATGGCCCTTTGCCTGACTGGTTAAAAATAAGCACTGTACACACTTCATATGCATCTCTCCCTTGAATGTGTGGGAGGAGAGAAAAAGCCACACAGGAGCAGATGCTCTGTTCTTGTCCTGTTCATGGCACCCTCCCAGGTTCTTATCCCTGCCCTTCACTCAGTCATGCCACACTCAAGGGAAGGCCTGTTTGATTCTTAATCCCTGTAGGATGGGAGCACATCTATGGATTGAGTTGAGGGTTGACTGATTTTTTAATAAATTTATTGGCTCATAATAAAAGAATAAATCTTTCATCTCATGCACCATAAAAACAATTTCTCATTACTTTGGTAAGAATCTTGACAGGATAAAGAAAAAGGATCAAATCTTAATTTGGGGAAGTACTGTTCTATGAAATTGATTCACAGCAAGTATACCTGAGTGAGTAAAAGTACCAAAGAAAAGTAAGGAAAGAAAAATTATTGATTTATTCATGTTTTCTAAGAAAAACAGGGTGTTTTTTTCCCAAAAAAACTTTATAGTTGTCTGGCATTCTGTTTGTCATTGGGGCTTCCTGTGTTTGGTTAATTTTTTTGTCTTAATTCTTTGGAAACTGCCCATGCAGCATCTATCTTTAGATGGAAATTTGCGAACACTGACTGTAGGACTAAAATGAAAGTATTGCAGCTAAGTACTCTGAAGGTTTTGAAATGAATATTGGTTTTTATTAATGCAGTGTTCCATGTTTTGGAAAGAGATCAAGGTCAGTTGAAGCATTTGTCTGGCTCACATCACATTACATTCAGATTGCATGTGAAATCTCCAGTTGCTTTGTTTTGCCTTTGGACAGGTGCTCAGAAGGTTTGTCAGGAATGTTAAGGCCATGTTGGACAGGTGTACTGTGGGGCTGATTCTTCCCTTGACTGGAACTAAATCAAGTGAAAGCCCTATTAAGCCAGAGGTATTGCAACAAAGCAAAATGGGCATGAAAGGATAGTCAAACACAGACTGTTTCCTGCAGGCTGTTTCCTCATATTCATTCATTTCTTCACTGTGTGAGGAGCACAGCAGCCAGGTACAGTGGCAATTAGACATTAGGATGGCAGAAAGGGAATGAGGAAGTACCACTGTCCTGCTTCCTCTGCCAAGCAAACACAGATCTTTCTAATTACATGGTCTGATTTGAGATATGTATTACAGATTTTCAAAATATATGTTATAGTATAAATTACTGTAAGGTAAGCATTGTATAGTTTCATATTGGGGTAAATACATATGGGCTGTATATTCAATTTCAGTAGTATTTTCCTTGCTTTCATAAGACTAAATATGCATACACAGCTATTATATTCAATAACTAAATCTAAATTTCTGCAGAAGGCCACATTTCTTCCTTAAAAATATCTTCATTTTAAATGTTTTTCTGTGTGTCCTTTCTCTTAATCTATTTTGTCTTTTATAACCCCTTTCTTACTCATCTATAAAACTTGAATGCCCTGCATTCTCCCACCCACCAAGTCACTCTGGACCATTAAGGTCCTGGAGCTTCTGATGTTGTGGCACTTGGGACATGATTTACACAATTTAGTGTTGTCAGTGTTAGGTAAATGGTTGTACTCAATGATCTTGAGGTCTTTTCCCACCCAAGTGATTTTATGTCCTCAAATCTTTTTTTTTTTTTTTTTTTTTTTTTTTGAGGTTTATGTTGCTCTTTGTGCTGGCCTTTCCTTTATGCTTGTGTCAGGATAGAATCCACTGCCTAAGCAATTTCTCTCATTCCCACTCCTAGACCCCTGCCCTTCCTGAATCCAGAAAAGGTGCTGATGTGACAGTGAAGCACTCAGTGAGATAAGTGATAGACTTCCTGAAACTGTGTTCTCTGTGCAGTGTCTGTTAGTAGGAATGACTTGCAGCAACAAATCTGCAGGATGGAGAAGAGCCAGAGAAACCACGAGGAGTGAAAGGTGTCCAGGTTACCTAAGCAAATTGGATTGTAAAGGGGAAAGATTGGAATGTGTGAGAAATTAAGATAGACTGCTCTTAAAAAGTACAGAACCATTGTCAAGTGTTCTGTCAATCCTGATTTCCTACTCTTTTAACTGCATTTCTTCCCTTCTCAGGCATCTCTTAGGGATCTGGTGATGGTGATGTCAGTTATCTGCCACTACTACATTAAGATGCTTCTTCCAAAGCGATAAGTGATGTCATTCTCTTAATAGAATTGTCACTAAGCTTCAGTCATTGTAGTGACGTGCAGGGCTCAGCATTCCAGCAAAGCCCTTAGTGCAAATGTTGAAAATCTTTTCAGTTTGCATGTCAAAAGTTATCATAGGCTTTGAGATGTATGGAAAAACTGGAGTCTGTTCTATGGAAGTTTGGCATTCCAGAAAGGCAAATCAGTACAGAGTCAGTGAGGAGAAAGAGCTTGGTGATCCATGGGATTGGAAGTGTACAGTGGGAAACTAGGAGTGTAATTACACTACACAGTGAAGTATAAGTATATAAATAATTGATCTAACCACCACTAAACTGTTTCCAGAAGTGAATTAGTGCAGCCACCTTAGTTTGGCTCTGAATACATGCTGAGGAAGTCTGGCTGTCTCAATGACAGGGCACATTGGCCTGAAAGGAATGTGCTAACCTATCTGCACAGCTCTTGGGATCAGGCCATGTGGGTGTGGAATGTCTGCAGTGTCTCTGCTCTGACAGGCCTGGTGTCACAGCCAGCTGGGACCTCTTCACATTGCATACCATGGTAGGAGAGATGTGCTGTGAAAGCACTTGCCTCAATGAGCCAAGCTAAATGACTATTAACAGATGATATAATTTCCTTCTCTGAATGTACCATCACAGAGGTAAAGCTCTCTTGAAGCCAAGGAACTGTGTTAGTAGAAGAGCATAAGTCATCAACTGACTAGGAATACACTGACTCTAAAATCAAAACAGAATTTTCACATTGAGACTGCCATCTGATAGAGTAGTTACTAAAGCGACTTTGGTCAGCTTCTGAAATAAATTAAGTGATACAACTGCAAGTGTAAGAGTACTTGCAGTGGTTTAGGAGTTCCATTCTAGTCCTATGTTTGTATGTCTCACAATTCTGTTCAAGTATTAGAGTCAACAATACTTGGGAAGAGCTGGGTCCTAATTATAACCTTGTGGAGTAATATCCTGCTCTTATATTTCATGTATCTCTTATCTACATATATTTCAACTATATTTCAGTTAACACAGTTGAGGTGTGAAAGCAGTGGTTTGTCTGGTAGCCAGAATATATAACCTTAAAAATGTGTAGGGAATTAGACTGCTTCAGTTGGACAGTTAATGAAGGAATTTTGTTTTATTGTGATTCTTTTTAAGTAGCAGTAATGGAAACAGAGAGCTTCTGGCCAAATTTCTTGTAACAATATGCCAAACAATATACATAATGATTTCAGTCATTCTAGTCATGAGGACCTGAGAACTGCTGAATTCAGCCAGATGAGAGGTCTATCTAACCTAGTATGTAGATATTTATGGAAAAAATGTCCAGAGGCAGTCATGCTTGCAGTGATTTTTCCATCATTCTCTTCAGGCCTTCAGTGACTAGGAGACTCTTTTGTTTAACAGTTACTGCTGACCTACTGAATAGAACTGCTGAATCAATGAAGTCATGCTTTTTCTGGTCCATGTACAGTTTATGCTTCACAATATGTAATGAAAGTAAGCTTAGTTTATTACTGAAAAAAAAAGCATGCCTTCCAATATTTATATTGGGAAAACCGGTGTATTACTATTAATAGGTCACCTTTTGAATAAAGTTCATTACTTGATACATTGCTCTCATATTCTTCTCTAGATGTTTTTCTAATTCTATCATGATGTTTTTGATAATAGAATGACTAAAGCTCCAAATTATTCATAAAGTGTTGGGGGCCTGAGTGTTTACAGGGCAGATTTTTCATGTTTTTCTGTTAATTTTTAAATAATAAATTATGTTCATTTTAAAATAATTAAAAAGGTATGTTTGTTCCTTTAAGCACCAGATATTTTCAGATTTCTTTCCTGGTGATACTAACACCCCATATATATACATATATGTGTATTTTCTCTTCCCTTCTTGATGTGCATTGCACTTAATGACACTGAATAGCCTCTGGCATTTTATCACTCATTCAGTATTGAACCACCTCCAAAGCTTTTCATAGCTAGTCCTAGATTTCCTCAGCCTAATAGTTTTGTGTCATCTGATTTTTTTCCTTTGTCTAATTATGTGTGTTCTTTTTCACAGTGTTTATGAATATATTGAAGGCCCACATCTGCCAGCTGAGCCTAAGTCAGTGAATCCTGAAAAAGAGTACAAGCAATATAAAATATGACCTATAAAAATAATTCAGCCCTTTTTCTTCTCACTAAAGTGAATTTTACTATTTTAGTTTAATTATTTATTACATAAGTAGATGCATTTTTAATTTGTTTTCACAATGCAGATCTGCTTTTCAAAGCACTTGTAGGATAATGGAAATAGAAGACGAGAAATTCACTGCTTTCTGATAATTTAAATATCACACATGTTGACATTAATGACTAACATTTTTATTTCATATTTCACTGTATGGGATTCTGGCACATACTGACAAGATAAGGGTGATTGTCAGGAAAGAACTATATAAAAGGAACTGTTCTTTTTATTTTTTGAATGTTAGCATGTAAAGGTTGTCTTTGACTGTCTTCAATCTCCTATTGGCTTAATCCACTATACTTACTTATTAAGCTATGAATACCTGCAAATCCTTTAAAGGATTAACTGTATCTGCCTGCTGAGCTTTCCGAGGCAGTTAAAAATAACTGCAGGCTGATTCTACTGACACACTAAAAATTGGACCTGCTCTACATTTTATGTTGTATTTGCTGCTGCTTTGACAAATCTGGTACAGTCTGGAGGTCCTTAAACCTTCTGTGAAGTTAGGTCGACCAAGTGCTCTCAATACCCCAGTTCTGACTAGCAGCTGTTTTCCCTTACAGCCCAAAGAGGATCAGCATTTGCTTTGTCTCATGAAAAATGCCAGTGACCAAGAACATACAAGCTGGACAAAGAAATTCAGCTTAATATAAATTCATGAAATAAAGGTGTCCTTCTCTGAAGATAAGGCTTTGCTTTATACAAGTGGTCTGCAATGCAAATGCAGTCCTTCCTGTTTGGTATGTTTTTTTCTAGCTGTACTAATTGACTTCAGAAAATGTATTTCTTTTCCACATTTACAAAACTGGTATATTCTAATACAGTATAAGCATGTGTGCTGGATGCTGCTAGATATTGTTAGTAAGGCAGCCAAATATATTACATCCATCATTATATCCATAAATGGAAGCCTTACAGGGGATGCACAGTTTCTCTCAATGGTCTGGAGAGTGCAGGAGACAGCAGCACATTAAAATGTGTACTGATTACCTCCATTCCTGCTGGCTGTCAAGGAAGAAGAGTTGGACTCCACCATCTTTATATATTGCACTATATTGCATTTTATAGTGCAATGCAATATATAAAATGGAAACTTTGAGACAAGACTTAGCACTTTCCATAGTCTTTTGCCAGGTATTTTCTCTTGGAAGTCTTGTACAGAAATTTATGGCTGCAAAATGATACCATAAATGTTGGTGTTTTCTTGCTGTCAAAGGACAGAATGGGACACTGATTCTCTGCTACAGTGATTTCTATCTTCTTTAACAGATTGTTTAGGTTCCTGCACAAAAAAAAAGCAGAAGTTCAAGTGCATATAAAGCTGAAACTGGTTCTCACACTTTATAAGAGCTGAAGGAATGTAACATGGCATAAAGTTATTTTCCCCACAAGTCATAGGCATCAGGCTAATTAATACTTAGCTGAGTGCATGAAATCTGCATTTGTTTAAAGCTGAAGGGGGAATTGAATTGAAAACCAAATTCAGTCAGATGTAGGTACTCACAAGGGACAACTCTGTCAGCATTCCTTATAGTGAACTCCTGACTGTAAAACAATATATGAATATAGAATAATATGAACTTGAGTTGGGCTTGCCAGCCACCCTGTGTAAAGCACTGACACAGGTGCAGAAGGAACATTGGATCCATCTGTGTGGATTCAGCCTTCAGTCCCTAAAAGTATGGCTGCTAGAATTCTTTAGCTTAGCTAGTTGAAGAGCTAAGTAGTTAGTAGTTGCTGATTAATTACTTTATTATTATGCTATTTGACAGTAAGAGAACTGTAGGTTTTCCTGCTCTTTTAAGTACATAAGCAAACTGCACAACCCAAGCTGAAGGTTCTAGCTCAGACACAATAAGCATTATAACTCTATTAGCATTAATATGTGCTAATTTATGTCTAAAATACATATTAAAAATTGTGCTGAGACAACTTCATACTGAGCTATATTGGGAAATCACATTATGTTTTTTCTATTTCTAGCTAAGGGAAGTCAACAAAACCTTGTGAGAGTTACATTTTACCCCCTTGTTCCAGTCAGTGTCTGCCTGCCTGTGGCCCTGCTCTGCCTGAGGAAGCACCATGGGTAAGCAGATACATTGTTTGTGGTACTTCAGTGTTTCTTAGAGCTAATTGCAGAATTTCTGCAGTGCCCTGTATTGCACTACTCAAGCAACAGATGACACAGACATACCAGGTAGATTGTGTGGTTCTATTTGTTTCAATACTATTTTTTCTCATTAGGCATATATTCCTTAATGTTTGGTTTTATCTGAACTTCACCACAAACTGTCAAGTTAAATTTTACTCAACATGTATTTTTGGAGGCAGAAAATGGACTTGTACAAAATGCACTTCCTAACATAAACTATTTAGTATTTTCTTGTGAAGAGAAGGTAGCATTCTTATGTTTTAAAAGAGAAATCTTGTGGAACCCAAGCTTGTCAAATTTTTGCCAGAAACTTGCTGGTTGCCTGCCAGCTCTCTACCCATGCACTTGGCAGGTGGCCCAGCCTTCCAAGAGCTGCAGCTGCCTCTGCGGCAGGGCTGGCAGCACTTGCAGGGCTGCAGTCCCTGAGCAGGTGTCCACATGGACTCCCTCCCAAAGGGTCCCTGGCACCCTGGCCTGAGGGGCTGTGCCTCCTGCTAAGGAACTTCCAGGCCTGGAAATGTTTTGTCTTGTGCCAGCTTTTGGGAACCCACATTCTTTACTTTAAGAAATTGTTTCATAAGTGGACATCCTATTTCTGTTGCTAAGGAAGGCCTTGTACCTGAAAGCAGGGATGGATGCCTTTAATACATCACTTTGTAGCAGTCCTGCTTCTGAGGAAGGTTCACGAAGAAATGACACAAAATGCAGCAGCATGTCTGGAGGAATGTTGCTTTTTAAGTTGGAATTTGGCTTCTGACATTAGCATTAGGTTTTGTTGAGGTTTTGTGCTTTCCTTTTATCTTAACAGACATTTCCCCCCACCCCCCCCCAAATACTATCTAATCTTATTTGAAATTCAATCAGACATCAGCAATATCTTGTGGACTAATATGCAATTTTTTAATGAGTTAAATATTCATGGTAGTTGATACAACCTTGGTATTAGTAATCTATTATGAAAGAACTGTAAGAATAAATAAAAGCTGATAAGCTTTATGCTGGTGTGTACATGGTTGTTAGTATTTTTTATTCTATCTTTTTAGGGCTGAGAAAAGTACAATTGAAGAGCATGGAGCATTCTGATATGTATAACTCTTTGTATCAAAGTAAGTGCCAACTCAGGTTAATAAATAATAAAAGTGCACAAAACAATTTTTCTTCCTTTTCCTGATTATTGTTTAATATTTTGCTGCATTTTGAATAGCTTGATAGAAAACTTATCTTTCCTAATGGAGCTCTATTCCAAAAATAAATCAATTCCACAACAGGAGGGTTGGAGAATTATTTTTTCTGTTCCAGCTATTGTTTGTAGATTGCTACTAGATGTCATGTAAATAAATCAATCAATCTCAACTTTATTGAAGCTAAATAATGATCTTGAAAGACACATGTGAATGGAATCAAGCAGCTGTGATACATCAAATATTTTATAGACTGTTGTCTAGAGATGATACCTATTTTATGACTGCCCTCAAGGAAATGTAGTGAAGAATTTTCAATTAACATAATACAGAAGAGCATAAGAAAGTCTTGTAATTAATTTGGCAAATAGAAACAGTGATGCAATAGAAGATGATATTCTGATAAAATTTCTCCAGCTTTGTAACTTTTTCAGCAAAATTGCTTTGTGATTTTACTTCAGACTTTGCCCCACTAAAGGCAGTTAGTCTATTCCTGAAGTTCCTAGTGGGGTAGAGTAACAGTTTCAGAGTCTAGGTGGACATTATTTTGGCTTATACAATGTTATCTCACAGTGCAAGAGATGAAGGAATAAACACTGCCTTATTTAGGGAACCAATGGCCTGTCAAAATCAGTACAAAAGTACAAAAAAAAAATTTCCTCTCCTGTTTCTCAGCTAGTACAATATGTTGGAGTGGAGGTTAACCTTGTTGTGCATTTTTCAGATGCTTCCAAATAGCTGCACAAAATTACACCAAGCTCAATTGATTTGCCCCTGTGCTACTGCAGTTTTATGTGTATTGAAAGCATGGGGGGGGGGTCTGTTAATAATAAAATTAGAATGACATAGAAATAAAGTGTACATTCTCTTTCTTGCTGATGTGATGACAAGTAGTTTCTCTGATTTTATTCCTCTCTTGCATTAGCCAATATAAAAATTTTGCCAATATGTTTTTCACAACACTTACAGATTACCAATAGCTGCCTAACTCCATTTCTGCTTACAAACTTAGTAACAACGTGCTTACATAAAGTAGACTATGATGGTCACATCTTCAGCTGCATCCTGGCATAGCTCCAACTACATAGCTGTTGACTTCATGAGGATTTGGATACAAACTTAAAGTTAAGCCCATGCTTAACTGCTTTGTCAATCTGTCTCTCTCTCCCCCTCTCCTCCTGCTGTTACTATCATATAACATCTATGAAATTTAGCTCGTGCTGACATGAATGAATGTTCAGGTATTTCTATACACTCCTTGTACACGGAGCTGTGGTTGATTTACTCTTGTTTCAAGCCTGAAGAACAGACTGCATCCACTGTGACTTCCAGAGTGCTGTAAGCATGTGCATGTGTTTATCTGTTTTCTAAGGTCACCTGTGGGCCTCTCATCCAACCAAAACTTCTGTAAGAAGGGAGACTGCATTTCAGAATAAAACCTTCTCTGGGATTCAGTGCCAAAATTCATGCTTTTTGTAGCAGTTGTAAATTAAGTCCTTTTTTGTTTTTTGGTTTAAATCATTTAGAGGTATCAATAGCTTCATAAACATTTTTTCATTGTATTTAAAAACATTTACAGCAAAATACTGCATCAGTAATAGTAGCAAAGATTTAGTTGTATAACTACTATTATATATAATCTCCCATATAAAACAGAAGTTATTATACAAAGGAAAGTATAATAAAATTATGACTGTAGGCAGTGGCTTTCATGAAGAGTGTAAGTTTTTCAAATACTTAATAAACGAAGAGATTTTATAGAAATGTAAGCTTGTGTTTATGTGATTTACGTGCATTCTTCCCAAAACAGCATTCAGCTACAATAAGGTTTAGTTGGGCATGTATACATGACCACATTAATGAATGTGATATTTGATTGTCTAGAGAGCTGTGGATATATTTAAACAAAAGATTTTATATTGCTTTAATTATTGTAATAAATCAGAGCTAAGTGACAATATTGTCATAAATTAGAAGGAGAAAAATATTTTAAGCACACATTTCCTAAATTTTATCTCCTAAAAAATTGGATAGCATTTCTACATATCTCTTCATAGTTTGGTATTTGCTAGATGTACTGTTGTTTCCCCTGGCATATCTGTTCTGTAAGGCAAGGGACAACAGAATCAAGAAATAAACATCTGACCATGTCACAAATCCAATTAACTCTGACAAGGGCTAGTAAAGTCAAGTGAATAACAAAGCACTGCTGTCTGGAAGCAGCTTTGCAGGCAGTAGGACACCAGCTGGATGAAGCAAAAGTACTTCAGGCAGCCGAATTTTCTGCCTCCACTAAGACCATCTTATACCCCGGTGAGGTCACAGTGCTGTAGCATTTTCAAGTGTCACATCTCATCTCTTCACCGTTCCTAAGCGGCAGGGAGGAGGAGGAGGGAAGCATTCCCTTCACAGAATGTAAAATATGTGCTAATGTCATTACAAGGTAATGCAGCGAAGCAGAAACTGCAGCAACCATTGCACAGCCTCTCCTCAGCCACCACTACAGCGTTGGGTTATGATAGAAACCTCCAAGAGATTTCAGTGCAGCAATCCTTGGGCAGAAATCTTGGTGGTTTTCTAATCCCAAGGCCTGTGCATGTTCAAAGTAGCTCTCCTTTTTCTAGCTCTTGCTGGATGTAGCTAACCAATGTCCCATTTAATGGGACTGAATGATTAAATGATTGCTTCACCAGTCTGCTGCATTCATCCATGCTTGAGACTCAGAAATGTGGGGGGATTTCTCATCTGGAGTATAGCAGTGTCAATCCAGAGACATTCCTTTGGCAAAGTTATTTTGGGTTTATCTTGAGAGGACAATCCACTCCCTGCCCATCTGACTGGAAATTGAAATTCTTCAGTGCTTGTTTCCAGATAGAAAGGAAATACGTGCTCCGTTTACGTTATCTGTGTAACCCAAACAACACAATGTTACCCTTGGAATCTTTTCTTGCTCTAACCTATTTCTCTGTCATGCAGTGTCCTTAAGTGAAATGCTTTCCATTTACACTGTAGTAATGGAAGGAATCTTAGACCCATATACAATACTCAGTATTTTTACTGATAATTGTCAACATTATTGGCAGCTCCTATTTTCTAGTAGCCAGAAAAGTCAAATATATAGTTTGTCAGCTTTAACATGGGTTATAAAACTGAAACAAACAGATATTCTCAGCTTTGAGATGGAGGAAGGAATATTTCTTAGGAAACAACATAAGAATTGGGGTTAGCTCATAACTCACAGCTAGTTTGCATCTGAAATTTCCCAGCACTTTTCTAACAGTCCTATTAAACTGAAATTAAAATTATATTAATTCAGCAAAATTTTCCAAAGGGAGATTTATTTAGTTAAGAATGGGATTTCTGGGTTCTAGAAACCAGAAACAGATACACACAATGACTCAGTGATTAGGTTATTAAATTACTGGATTTAGAGCAGGAAACTGAAACTGTTTCCCCTCTTTTAATTCCACATGTTTCTATGCACAGCATCTTTTGAATCTTCCCCCCCCCCCCCCCCCCCCCCCGCCAACTTTAAAGAAATACTTATTAATCTTGGAGTTGGTCCCAATTTTCCTGATACTAAGAAATTAACACGGGGTGAGATGGGTAAATTGAAGTGTCAGGATGGTCTATGAAATCAGAAAAAGGAGCAAGGAAACAAGGAAAGAATAAAAATATGCAGGATTGCTTCTACAGAAAACTAAAAATTAAACATATCATCATGCTTGTACTTTTTTTTAAGTGCATTGAAACTTGATCTTCTTGCTACAACTTTGGACACAAATAGAATTTAGCAAATGGAGATATGCTGTAGGAGCAGCACAGGCATATGCTGACATACGATTACCATATGTCAGTCCACAGTGATTCTCGAGCTCCTGAGACATGTTTTGTTCTTTAAATAGTTTTCCATCTTTTTAACATTTTGAAGCACATAGACTATTTTCATTATGCTTTTTTCCTCCTTCCTTTGAAGCCACATGCATTTACAACTGACTTAGATTAGGCAGGAAGGACAGATAGAAAGAAGCTAAAATAGCTTTAAGAAATTACTACTGCAGTCAAGTATATTTGGAAATTCAAGAGTCAACATGAACTATAAAAATAAAATAAAGTCTACAATAATCTTTATAAATAAAGAAAACATATGGGTTAGGATTTTTGTCCTGCATTCATCCAGGATCACATGCAGTATTTTGTTCTGGGATGTAATACAGCAAGTTAAATTTTAATTTAAAAACCAACAAAACCCCCTTTGTATTTAATCATGTATCATTAAAACCTGAGATTTTGACTTGAACTGGAGACTGAGTCAGAACCTCACAGACTCACACAGAGAACATAGTAGCTGCCAACAGGCTATTTCCTGTTGCTTTTCACAACAAACAAAAAAGGGATATTTCAGTATGATCTGCAGATGTGCAGCATGATGACATTTAGATGCAAGTTTTACAGAGGCCTACAATTTTAGGCATATAATATATAAAATTCCCTCCTATTTCTTAAAAAACCAACTCCATCACTAAAGAATTAAGATCTTTCAACAAATTGTGTGACAGTCTTAAGTTTCTAAGCTCCTAAAAGATTTGGAGGAAAAAATACTTAAAATTTACTCAAATGCCTGTGAGAGCTTAAAAAAGGAAAAATAATGAGAACATACATAAAAATTCTACTGCACACTGGTAAGGTAGAAAAACTGTACTGAACATATTTTTTGGCTTTTGCAATGTCTCATATAGGCTTGATCAGCAAAATAATTTGTTTCTTTAGTGAAAAAAAATGCTTTATACTTCTCAAGAGAGAAATAATTATTTCTGAATGTCTGGAGAAATACTGAGAAAAATAACTACCATAAACAAGTCATTAGTAAGAATTTACCTTTTCAGTGCCTGGAGACATAATATAATTTCCTAATAAGCTCCAGCCTCCTAGCTGTTGCAAACCAAAGACATCCTAGAGCTTCCTACTAAGTGTGCATATCAGCTTGGGCCAGCACAGGAAGAATTCTTAAGGCTGGGCTGAAAGAACCAATGTTTCCTCAAAGCCTCTGATTCATCACAGGTACATTTGCTTTCTAGTTCTGTGTCTTAAAAAGGGTCAAACTCTGCAATGTTGAAGGGCATAAAGTAGTGCTTGACACATTGGGCATAAACACATATATCACACAGACATCCTCCTGTTAGGAAAAAATCAATTCCTGCTTGCACTAAAAGGCACTGATGTAATCACAAAATGTTTTAGAGAGTTTTTACTCCTAACTGGGTAACACTGGAAATTTTGTCCCTCTGCAAGTTATGGATTGGGTCTTAGCATACTTTTGTTGAAATAAAGGTACTCCAGTCAATTTGAGAGTTGAACTGGAAACCAAAGTCCTGTAAGTTTTGTGCTAGCCTCCTCTACAGGAAGGTAAACAACCCCAAAAGAATGGTGATATGTGAATAGTTCTCCCACAACCTCTTTGTTTGCCAAAGTAATTGTAATTGAGTAGGCAGATTTCTTCTGGATGATACCAGAAGAGAAAAATGAAGAAGGTTGTATAAAACCGTATTTTGTTTCTTATCCTAGGGAAGCCTTACATGGCACAATTTGGATGATGTCTGGATTTAAACCCATTACCAGAAAAAGATAATGATGCTGTTTTGAGAGCCAAATGAAGAGACAATACATAATACCATATACAAGGAAAATCAGAGGAGATCTTGAATGAGCAAAGAGGATGTACATGATGGAGTTATTTACCAGGTACTATAATATGAAGAAAAGCAAAGCACCTCTTCTCAAAAGGGAATTACAGAAATTAATTGAGGATATTGTGGCATCATTCCTTTAAATCCCTTATGCTCCACAGTTCCCTGTTTCTCAGTGCCCCCCCACCCCTTGCTCTCAGAAGTTTTGCACCCACTTGTTCTCTTTCCACATCCCCAACATCCTGTCTAAGTTTGTCTCTTAGGCCCAGCATCCCTATCTGGCTGTGAACAAAGCTGTCACAGTGGTAAACACTGTCAGAAAGATTTCCTGTCTCCTTTTTTTGTATATGAAAGCAAGGGGTAAGAAGGGTGCAATCAAGGTGTTTTCCTGGCACTGCTACAGTGCCTGGAGGGCAAAGGCTATTCCTCCTCCCCTGCACTGCCCAGCAATCCATGTTCCAGCACCAGAGGGAAGAGCAGGATATGAAACAAGCAAAACAGTGTCACTCAGAACCTGGAGGAGTGAGAAAAGAGGGCTTCCTTCTGCCTGTAGAATTTTTATGTACATGGTGGAGACTGGTGTGAAACATATTACAGGAGACAGGTGAGAGGGGAACTTGGTGCTTCTTAGAGGTCCCATGGTCAAGGAAGTTTTGTGAGAGCATTTTTTCAGGGAGTTTCAAAATAGGTGATGATGATGATGTGCTGTACTGGGCCAATTCCCACCAGATGCAGAATAATTTCTGTGTGAGAATATACTGGAGCTGTGAGG